TCACTATGGAAATTGGTCAATAACTGTTGAGACAGCAGAAACTGCCTATAAAAACCAGGCAGCCAGCAGGGAGATGGCCAGAGTGAATTCTACTGTGCCGCATCGCAGTCCTGGACACTACAAAAAACGAAACCTTGAAGAGGATTTTTAGTCAAAGCTCACTTTGCACTCGGAGAAGGGTTGTTCTCTTCATATAACTTTGCTATAGGGCAGCCTCCTCCAACCTGGTGCCCTTTGGGCTCTGATGCAGGCTGCTTTAGTACTTTACCAGCTCAACCTTCCTATTAGTATTTTTGGCTTTAGTGGCAGTTCACTGAGCCAGTCCACCTCCCCTGCTTTTCCAGGCAAGCCAGAAAGTGGATGCTATCATTCTGCACATTAGGCTGTGGCGTGGAGGTGTTCCTTATGTTGCTATCGTGAATGGATTCTGGATTCTGCAGTGTCATAGAAGGCTCCAATTGAAAATGTTGCCTTGCTGCTGTGAAGGAACTTCACCACCAGGGGGATTTATGCTCTGTGAAGCCTGCCAGCACTCTTTGAGCAGTGGGTGGGTGCACATGCTTCTCATAGTCTCTCACGGCAAATCTAGCCTAAAAGGGATGTGACATAGGTGATTGGCAGATTAAAGGTAAAGGTACCCCTGCCCGTACAGGCCAGTCTTGCCAGACTCTGGGGTTGTGCGCCCATCTCACTCAAGAGGCCAGGGGCCAGCGCTGTCCGGAGACACTTCCGGGTCACGTGGCCAGTGTGACATCGCTGCTCTGGCGAGCCAGAGCCGCACACGGAAACGCCGTTTACCTTCCCGCTAGAAAGCGGTCCCTATTTATCTACTTGCACCCAGGGGTGCTTTCGAACTGCTAGGTTGGCAGGCGCTGGGACCGAGCAACGGGAGCGCACCCCGCCGCGGGGATTCGAACCGCCGACCTTTCGATCGGCAAGCCCTAGGCGCTGAGGCTTTTACCCACAGCGCCACCCGCGTCCCCGATTGGCAGATTACAGGGGAATAATTATCCAGGGTATCGGGTCAAGGCCAGCTAGAGTGGACAGAAACAATGTGATTAATCTCACTGAATGCATCAGCCTGTTTATGGGGGGCTGTCATAAGCCACTTGATTTTGCAGCCAGGCTTACCCTGGCTTACCCTGTCAAATGCCTAGCAGGCTACAATCTATAGATGCTTTTGGCTAGTTGTCAGAGGTGCCGGATGACAAGACAGCTTGTGGATTGCAGTCATTATGCCGGAAGCGGAAAGCTCAGTAGACTAGAACCTGCTTATCTTTCGTTGCACAGCTGCCTCAGAGAGTAGGCCAGTTGTGTCTTTACCACCTAGTAATAGCTGCCGCTACTTCCCTCTCAACTCCTAGCCCACCCAGATAGGAAGGAATACAGGGGAGCCGTAGGAAATACTAAAATCCTGAGACAATGCACCCTGCGTTTCCCAGCCAAATCCCTCTCGCTATGCACAGAACCAGCCTACCGCACCCTGTCTTTCCCAGAGATCAGAGCGCTTACTGTTTTTTTACACCTGCAATCTTACGCTCCTATATGAACCCAAGTGGCTTAGACATATGGGAGATCACTAGATTCCCAGATTTTGGCAAACACGCACTGCAGACACCAGTAGCCAAAGTACAAGAAGTTTTATGGAAGGAAGGGAAGAAGGCAAAGGGATAAGGCAGGTTTTTTGCTTTTTTTAAGGAGTGTTGTGGCTGAAAGCTACCTATCGTGACCTAATAAAAACTGGCTTCTCAGACTATTCACAAGCATTATAATGTAGATGGGCATGTTCTGATGGTTGAGGGCAGATGATTGACCCCAGTAGTAGGGAGGGAATCAGCAGACCCTGATGCGAGGAGTGGGGAATAAGGCAACAACTCAGAGTTAAAGGGCTTTTTTTCGCACACTGGTTTGAGTGGTCAAAAGGAGACAGGTGTCATTCAGAGCCTGTGTCACAGTTGATACCTTTGGTGGGGAAGTGGGAAGGTGCTAGACACCTTGGGGCAGATGGAGCTGGTTATTTTTCCAAATTTCCTGCCAGACAGCAATGGAAGGACAAGAGATCAGGCTCATGGTGGTTATTATAGAGCCCTATGCCGGGAGACCCAAATTCAACTCCCCACATTTACATGAAGCTCACTGGCTGACATAAGCTAAGTTAGACTAAGAGTAACTAGCCCAATCTAGTGACCGTAAGTATAAAAGGGTAGGGGAGTATATGGATGTATTCTGGCTTGAGTTCCTTCCAGGAAAGGCAGGATATATAAATTAAATAAAAATGGAATCCAATGACTTCCTCACCAACAAACTCCGGCAATCTCACTTCCAGGCTCAAGTGACTTTATTTACATTTCCATACTGATTAACTGTTCGCATCAGAAAGAAGTTGAACAAGAACAACTAACTACTTCAGACTCGGTCCCCTGCTTACAGTGAACTCTTAGCAACTTTCTTAAGTGCCAAACTAGGAATAGGCTAATTTCATCCATTAAAAAAACTGTTTTTAATATTAAGCACCAGAAAGTTAATGTAGGGTTCCCATTATTTCAAGAAGTGAAAATCCAGACAGAAAAGTTGTTGAGCTTTTGGGAAGGTCCTTTTTGGGAAGATCCTGCCATGGCTCAGCATCAGTATCACTAGCAAGATCTGCTACTCGTGAGTGAGAGAACAACTTTTAGGCACTTTTGCAAACTTGGAACTTTAAATTTGGCAGGGCTGGTGCACCAGATGGAACTCCCTTCCTTCCTTCCTTCCTTCCTTCCTTCCTTCCTTCCTTCCTTCCTTCCTTCCTTCCTTCCTTCCTCCCTTCCTCCCTCCCTCCCTCCCTCAACATGTCAATTTATCACAGCTCCTCCATGGCTTCTATATTTTAGCTCTGGTCCAAATTCCACCATGATGAGTTCTCAGTCACAGAGGAGCCTGGAAGAAGAGGAGGTGGGGTTAAAACAGTGCAGGAAACTAGAGGAGCTTGAAAAAATAGCAAATAATGCCCTCCCCATCTCAATGCAGATTTCAGCCAGAGTTTTGCATGCAGGCCAAAGCAGCACAAGTCTTCGCTTGTCTGTAGTGTTGATTCTGGCCTGGGCAGCTATTCTGGGACAGTAAGAGGCAGTGTGCAAATTCGGAGTAGGAAGCGGCAGGTCTTTGCTGAGCAAGAGGGGCTACACCAAGAATATGCTGCACTCTCCAAAAGCTGCTGGCTGGGTACCCTGCTTGCAACTGCAGCCCACACAGAGGCCCTGAGGACGTCTGCATGTGGCAAGTGCTTGCACAGGCCGAAAATGTGAACATAGGACGCTGCCCTGTATTGCACCAGGGAATTCATCCATCTGCCAGTGTTGTCTACACTGACTGGCAGTGCAGCTTTCTGGGTTTTCAGTTGGGAATCTTGCCAGTCCTGCCTAGAGGTGCCTTGCAATGCAATTGAGATCTTCTGCAAGCTTAACACTAAGCTCTACAATCCTTTCCTTCCACGCCACTGGCTGGAGGACAGTGCCCCCTTCTGTCCTGATTGCAGCAGCGTCGATACTTGCTAACTGCTAACAGTTGCTTCTCCCTCCCCTTCTAATGTTTTCTTTGGCATGCTTGAATCTCTACTGCTGGGTCTTCCAACAGTAACTCCATTTGGTTTAGCCCCAGACCTACGTCTGGAAAGGAGAGTCTTTTGACAGTTGGAGCACTGCCAGTGGTGAAGGCCTGGCAACACGGATGCGTGGATAGGCCATGCCAGACTCTCCCTTTCCCTTCAGACAGAAACAGCAGCAGGTAAGATTAAGGAGGGCATCACCAGGGCTGCAGGACAAGATGCCTCTCATGCCTGGGACAGTGGGATAAGATGTACTCTTTGCACGAAGGATGGTGACCAAAACACTTAATTCAGAAGCGAAACAGAATTAAGGCTGTGAGCTGAGTTACATCTACATCAGTTTTGCATATTGAATGTTCTGCTCCCCCCCCCCCCACGGTGCTCATGTTACAGCCCTCTTGCACCTTCACCCTTCCAAAGCTGCCATAGTAGTAGTAGTAGTAATTTATTATTTATACCCTGCCCATATGGCTGGGTTTCCCCAGCTACTCTGGGCAGCTTCCAACAAAATAGTCAAAATATAATAAACCCTTTCCCCCTTTCTGACCTTGCTGTACAGCCTTCTCCTCTTCATCCCTCTTCCTGTGTTTCAGCACCAAAAATATTGCAGCAACAGATGAGAAAGGCTGGCAGCTTTAAGGCTGTAGGGAGGCAATAAAGAGTTCTATGCTTGGGCCGGCAGAAGGTTCGTCAAGTTCTGCAACCTGCCACATGAAGAATCTCGCAAGCTCAGCTAATACAGCCAACAGCTTTCTGTTCTTTTGTTCCTGACAACTGGTATTCAAAAGCACCTTGTCTGCTGCAGAGGTTCCAAATGGCTTTTGTGGGTTGGCTCATCCTCTCTGAATTTGCCTGAATCTATCAAGGAAAGAAAAAATACATCAGTGGCTGTCACCACACCGGCTGTGGCAAACTGCGGGGTGGCCCCAGCCTGGTGGTTTCAGCTTGGCATGCAGAAGGCCCCAGGGTCAACTCCAAACATCTCAAGGGAGCGCTGGCAAAGATTCCCCGCCCGCAGCCACAGAGAGCCACCGCCAGTCCGAGCAAACACTCCTGGGCTGGGTGGCAACTTCCTGTGTAATTTCATACATTCGTTGTGCCTTGTGGTTGCTGTGCCGAGGAACTGGGATGTCGGCGGTTCTCTTGATCGTAGGGAAGAGATGGAAGTCTGCATCTGGAAGTTCCAGCAGGCGCCTGCTTTTGTTCCTGTATATTTTGGACAGATGGATCCAATCTGGTGAGGCTGGGGGCTGGCCGTCTTGCGGCAGCAGCGGGGCTCCTTTTTGCAAGGCTGCACATCTTCATGGGGTAGGCGGCAGCGATGGGCGAATCCTAGAGGCCCAGGACGTTGGCAGGAGTGGCCTCCATGCAGAGTCCTGGACTTCCTTCAGCTCCGAGGCCCCCTGTGTGCCCCAAAATGTCAAAGTGGGGCTGGGCAGCAGCGGTAGCCGCTGGAGCAGCAGTTGTATTCGTTCTGCTGCCCGCAGCTCCTTGGATTCTGCAAGATGTGGAGGCAGAGGTGAGTTGGGGGGGCTGTGCCTGGCAAGGGAAGCTGATGGAATGCGGTTGACAGGAATTGAGGGGGGGAGGAATTTAGAGGGGGGTCTCTTCGCTGTTAGATGGGAGCAGCTTTCTACAGAGAGGAAACATTTGTCCCTGGAAAGGGGATGCAAATTAAACAATAAACAGTTCCACTCAAGTTCATGGTGGAGGGAGGAGAGGTTGCAAAGGGGACTGGTCAAAGGTAAGACCTTTGCAGGGCAATCCTAGGCATGCCTGCAACTCAGAAGGTACTGAGTTCCGTGAGGCTTACTCCTAGGTGAGTGTGCACAGGGCTGCAGCTTCGAATTCCTTCTTCCATGCACACCTCCTCCCCCCTCTCCCTCTCGCTTTTCCTTGACAGCCTCAATTTGCTGGAGGCTCCCAAAAGGTGGGTGAGGAATTTCTCCACAGGGCAGCCAGCCAGGAAGACTAGCATTTGCATAGCTTGAGGTTAAGGGGAGTGGCATGTGTGTGTGTGTGTGTGGGGGGGGAGAACATGGGATCCTCCAAGTTTAAGACTAGAATGGGGCTTTCAGCTGGAATGGCTCAAAAGATTTGCTGAATGGCCTCCCCCGCCCTTGCTTTTTTGCAGGGGGACGAAGCGGCCCAATCTGTTGTGGCTTCTGCTACTTGGCAACCCAACAAAGGCTTGACCAGAAGGAGGCGCTATGCAATCAACCCTCTAGGCTACAAATGGGACCACGTGAATCTGACCTACAAGTGAGCATGTTTATTTGGGGTGGGGAACCAAGAGCCTAGTTATTGCAGGCTTACTAAATACAGTGTCACAGGGCAAGTTATTGTTATATGAATTTTTTTTGGGAGCTGTTGTGTTGCTCCGTTGCGGCCTTTGATACCATCGACCATGGCATCCTTCTGGACTGTCCAGAGGAGTTGGGAGCTGGGGGCACTGTCATACAGTGGTTCTGCTCCCTTCTCCTGGGCTATGTCCAGAAAGTGGTGTTGGGGGATGAGTGTTCAGACCCCTGGGCGCTCACTTGGGCGCTCACTTGTGGGCGCTCACTTGTGGGGTGCCTCAGAGCTCCATCCTCTCCCCCATGCTTTTTAACATCTATGAAGCTGCTGGGAGAGATCATCAGTATGTTGGAGGATGGATGGCAGCTAACAGACTGAGGTTTAATCCTGACAAGACAGAAGTATTGTTTGGGGGGGGACAGGGAGTGGGCAGGTGTGGGGGACTCCCTGGTCCTGAACAGGATAACTGTGTTCCTGAAGGACCAGGTGTGCAGCCTGGGAGTCATTTTGGACTTACAGCTGTCCATGGAGGCGCAGGTTAATTCTGTGTCTAGGACAGCTGTCTACCAGCTCCATCTGGTACGCAGGCTGAGACCCTCTCTGCCTGCAGACTGTCTTGCCAGAGTGGTGCATGCCCTGGTTATCTCCCGCTTGGACTACTGCAATGCGCTCTATATGGGGCTAGCTTTGAAGGTGACTCAGAAACTACAATTAATCCAGAACGCGGCAGCTCGACTGTTGATTGGGAGTGGCTGCTGGGACCATATAACACTGGTCCTAAAGGATTTCAATGGCTCCCAGTGTGTTTCTGAGCACAATTCAAAAGTGTTGGTGCTGACCTTTAAAGCCCTAAATGGCCTCGGCCCAGTATACCTGAAGGAGTATCTCCACTCCAGTTGTTCAACCCAGACACTGAGGTCCACCTCCAAGGGCTTTCTGGTGGTTCCCTCACTGCAAAAAGTGAGGTTACAGGGAACCAGACAGAGGCGTTCTTGGTAGTGGGACCCTCCCTGTGGATTTTGCCACTGGTATGTATGGCTAGACTTGGTGTTTTTTTGCGCGTGGGGTGGTGGTAACGTGACAGTATTCATATTTCAATGAAAGTGCTGAGGTTGCCATCACGAAAGAGAGAGAAAGAGAGGTGAGTAGCATCACCAAAAAAATATTGGCTAGACTGACCATTTGAGGATTGTATGCTCCCGACAGCACCCCCTGGTGGAAGAACCTGCCAGCACAATAGTTTGAAATCATCCCAGTCTTCTGCTGCTCATAATGTTCCTGGTTATGCTTTTTCCCTGGCTTGCTTTCTCTACCTCTTTCTGGCTGCAGGATTGTACAGTTCCCCAGCACCCTCAACAAGGTGGACACCGAGCGAGCCATAGCGAGTGCCTTTCGCATGTGGAGCGATGTTTCTCCCCTCAGCTTCCGGCGCTTGGCCCCTACCCAGCTGGCAGACATCACTATAGGTAGGAGCTGTATAATGAACCCATCCCTAATGCAATATTACTGTGTCAGGAATATCTTGCCCAAGGCACCTGCCATTGCACACCAGTCTGGAGGGGCCACTGCCCTAATTCTGCCCATCACCCCATTCCCTTGCTGTCAGTCATTTTCCCACCAGCTCCTCTGTCACTGTAGTTTCCTAGTCGCTTTTCATATTCCAAGTGGAAAGTGAAGCTGTTGCTTCCAGAAACAGTTTTGAGGAGCAGGTAAGAACCTCGGGCGCTCCCAGCTGCTGCATCAAGACAAATGCCCATCTAGTTCATCATCCCTTCTCTTGCAGTGGCTGAATAGATCATAGAAATCACAGAACTGTAGAGTTGGAGGGGATCCTGAGGATCATCTAGTCCAACCCCCTGTAATGCAGGAATATGCAGCTGTCCCATGCATGGATCGAACCTGCAACCTTGGCGTCATCAGCACCACGCTGTAACCAAGTGAGCTATCTGGGCTGATCCCTATGTGAAGCCCCCAGGCAGGACCTGAGGGCAACTGGCATTCAGAGCCTTACTGCCTTTGATAGGGCAGGTATATCTTACAAGGGGTTGTGATCATCTTGTCTCCAAGATCTATTTCTGCATATCACATAAGTGACTGTAGTGGTGCCATTTTGATTTTTATTCCACATGTGAAAACGCTCAAGGTTGGGACTGCCCTGGAAATATTAGAAAGTGCCTGTGATGGTGCCCAGATGCCGTGGTTGGTCTGCCTTGTGCTCCCAGACGTGGATTTAGCTCAGCACAACTGGTTCCCCTGCCCTGGGCATAGAGCTGAGGGAAGTGTCACAGGGCCTTGCAACTATGACACAAGGCGTGTACAGAATGGAAGGGGGGGGGACACGACGACCAAATTTTGACCTTGCACAGGGCACCGCTGAAATTTGAAAGACCAAAGTCCACCCCTGGTGCTTCTCTACTTTCCTTTTGCTACTGTTTTAACATCTCTTCCAAACTGCTTCTGGCATAACCCAAAGAGCGGAAGAGAGACTTCCCCTGGCAGATTTATTACATCTGGGCTAGTTGGAGAAAGTTCAAAGGAGCTCAGCAGAGATGAAAAAGGCAGCAGAGGGAATGGAAGACACATGGAGAGAGGCAGCAGGAGTGGGATTTATTTCGCCTGGATGCAGGAGTGTGGGGGAGAACAAGAAAAAATGTTGGTCTAAATGGGTGATTGTTACTTAAACAGAGGAGCTGTAGGAGAACGACTTGTGTCTTGTGTTTCTGATGGGAGATTTGGTAAGCGACAAATATCCAACATAAAATAAGTTGAGGATTCCTAGCCCTGCTTTGGTTCAAGGAAATGGTTTGTAGAGGTTGCCAACATGTTGCCTTCCAGATGTTGTAGGCAACCATTCCCATGGCCACTGGTCATGCTGGCTGAAGCCGATGGGAGTCTGATACATAACGTTGGCTACCCCTGGTTGAGAGTCTGGTGATGCTACATCTTTGTCCCATCTATGATTGTGGGATTCACACCTTTTCTCAGATATTTTCTGCTGCATCAAGGCACCCGGGTCATAGGACAGGGGCTCAGAACCTATTCTCTTGACTACAATACAATGATTCTTTCAATTCTGTGAGCCACCCTAAGGGGTGGTTGATGAAGGGCGATATGTAAATTTAATAAATAAACATAATAAATAAAATAATCCTAATTTCAGCGGGGGAGAGGGATCCCCCAAGGGCATCAGGAATGGCCTCTGCAGGCACCATGTTGGAACACCCCCTACTCTAAGATAAAGACCACGTCTGTATTCATTTAGACTCTGCTTCTTGCACTTTTGCCAATCACTAGTAGGGAGGCTGGAGGAATTTATTTCCAACACACATACACCCCCATGTGTTGTTAGACCCTTCTTCAGAGCCTCAAAACTAAAAGGAGAAAAGGCTCTGGTGTTAACGGATATAAGACCTTTAATTAAAATGAAAGCACCATTTTTGTTCTTTCTGCTGCTTTCTTCTCTCTCTTCCTGCATTCCGATTCTATAGTTCTACAATTTCTCCCAGAGACCACCAAATTATGGCTTAGTTCTCAGTGAGGCAGGGAAACCTGATTCTGGCCTGTACCACTTCAGTTTGCTGGTGGGGGAATCACAGGATTGAACGCTCCTCCAGAAAAAGTTCCAGCACACAGAAAATAAATAATCTCAAGGAGATGGCTTTTCTGCCTGACATGCTAGCTTGCCAGGTGGAATGGAATTGTTTTTGTGTGGGCAAACATTCAGTCCAGAAATCTTCAATAAAAGGAGATTTCTGAATGTCTCATATTTGCTTGGCTCCTGGTCTGCAGAACAGGGAAGCAGGGCATTCTTTCTCTCTTTTTTTAATATCATATTTATTGAAATTTCCAAAAAATCCAAAAAAGAAAAAAAAAAAAAGGAAAAAGAAAACATTTACATTTAAGACCTTACTTTCAATAACATCTTTCCAAGACTTCCCCACCCCTCCCCTTCTTGTATTCCATTTCCATTTGTTTAGTTCAACAAGTTCTTATCCCAAGTTTTGACCTTATTATATTTAGCCCATTATTCAATTTAGTTTATCTTATATAACCCCTTTCCCTTTATATTCCACAGTCTTTAAACATTAAAATCTTTTTTTTCTAAGGTCGACCCCAGCTTCCTTCCACGAATTCCCCTTTTTAGTACTCACAACAAAACAAAATAAAGAAAGAAGAAAAATTCAAAATATAGTTGTACGCCCTTTGGATTCCAAAACTCCCTCCCCCCTTTCCCGGTTTCGATCCCCAATGTCCATCAGTCTATCTGCTATCAGCCTGGAGACCTCACATCCGAGGCCCTTAATTCTCTCTCAGCTCCTCTTTGCCGGTTTTTTTGGTAGTCTTTTATATCAAACACCCAATCTTGGAGAAACTCTGTCTCAAGAATGTCCATTTTTCTTCCATCCAGACCTCTATATTTAAGAGTAGAGCTCAGATCTTGTTTCTTAATCATTTTAAGTCTGAATGTCCCAAATGCTCCAACTTCCATCTTGCTCAAATTTGTAATCCATAAATCTTCAGATCTCCACCTCAGGAGATCTCTCCAATCTTCCTTGTCCAATTCAAACCAAATTTTCATAATCCAATTCTTGTTTTCCTTTATGTCCTTCCTGACAGGCCTTTGGCCTTCCTTGGTCTTCTGCGACGATATGACTCCTCCTTCATTCCCTTCCAAATCATCATAAGTCCCTTGTTCTCTTTCATCACTTTTCTCAGGTTTCTTTTCCTGTTCATCTGCAAAAACTTCTAATTCCACTACAGAGGCTTTTTGTTCAGGAACAAAAACTTGCGTCAAGTCCCTTCCATTTTCAATAGATATGTCTATTGTCTCATTCAGTGTAGAAACCTCTGTAGACAAAATAATGCTTTGTTCTTGCAGCTTTCCCAGGAGATAAAAAGTCCTGTTCAACTCCATAAGTATTTTTCCACTTACAGCCATTCTTGTAATGTCCCAAAACCCCCTCTAGAGGGATTATGGTTACTTAGTTTCCTTCCAGATCCAACCCAAAAGTCAAACTAACTTGTTGTTCCTTATTTTCAACAATTTATATCCAAATTGTAACAAATCTAACCAGCAAAGTCACAGTAACAAAGTTCTCTTTTTATTCTCCGACTTTGACAGCTACTTTGACAGCTGTCAAAATCTCTGTATCTCTTCACCAGGCTCTCTCACGGATCACTCCCGGTTCCCGGGGGGTTGCACTTTAACTCTCGCAGTCAACTCTTATCCTCCAGCAAAATTACTTGTAATTTCCAATCGTGAAATTAATAACTTTTATCCAATAGAGAAAAGGCTCTTCTCTCAACCTTAGTTGTCAAATCCTTGCTTTAAATTGTTTACAATGGGGGGAGACGGACTTCCTCTTTGCACCTCCCCCGCTCGTACCGAATCCAGGAAAAAGAAAATTTTCCCTTTTAAGTCCGATTTCCAAATTACTCACGGGTTGTTATTTTTAGTCCAAATTTTCAGAAGAAGAAGTCAGCGCTCTCCGTCGAATGGCATGCGGCTTCGCTCGGCAGGGGAAGCAGAAGACTCACAGCACCGCGCCGCTCCCCGCCCCCCGCTCCGTAGCCTTTAAAAAGGCTCCTTCGCGGGTCGGGGGGGGCGCAAACGGTGCCCGCCGAGTCACCAGGTCCACGGGCTTTCGCGCCCGTGGTTTTTAAGGGTCCCCGCGTCGCCGACGCGACAGGACCCGACCCCGGAAGCAGGGCATTCTCTTACCCCACGAAAACAAAACCTAACACCTACCTCCATGGTTCTCTTAAACTGGTTCTGCTACCACCGTTCAGTCTAACTTATTCCCCCAGTAACCTGGCAGCTGTGAGGTACAGGAATAATATTAAACCAGTCAGGTACAGATACAATATTTAACAAAGGTATTTGAATAAATAAATTGAATAAATGAAATACTTGCATTTATTTATTACAAGATTATTCTGTGCCCAAGCTTATCTGGTCCCTTTAAAATAGCACTGGCTCTTTGGATGAGTCAACCCAAGAAGGTATAGGGTTATAAAGGCCAGGACTAGCCGCCTGAGAAACAGTTTCTACGCTAATGCAATTCTGGTTCTAAATGCAGCATAAGGGGTTTCTACAGTATAGTGTATTTTAAAATAGGGTTTTAGAGTTTTTAGGGGTTTTTGAATGTTTTATGTAGTTTTTATGTAGTTTTGTGGTAGTTTTATGTAGTTTTATGTAGTTTTTCAATTTCATTGTTCCGCAAGGGATTATGACAATAAAGATATCGTAATCGTAAAAACTTGTAACTGTCACTTGAAATGGCAATTACTTATTGTCCCAGGACAGCTTGAAGGAAGCAGTTCATCCCCCCTATTAAAAACCCTTTAGCCAAATTACCGCTTTATTATCTCCACCCCCTGGTTAAACCTCACCAGCGGGATAACGGAGCCCTCCGCCGGAAAGCTCCTTTCCCAAGTGTTTACTGACCTATTGAAGCTCAGGTTTGCTTTGCTGCCCTGCCCTGGAAGTCTTCCCTCTGGTCCTCTTCCTACCAGTCACCAGAGGCTGATGTCCCACGCTGCTTCTCACGCCTCCCCTCCAGTGCTGCAGACGGGTCCCCTCACCGTCTCTTCAGCCTCTGTCTCGTGACGCAGCTCCATAGCTCATCTGGCAGAACACGAGACTCTTAATCTCAGGGTCCTGAGTTTGAGCCCCACGTTAGGCAAAAGATTCCTGCATTGAAAGGGGTTGGACTAGATGGACCTTGGAGAACCCCTGTCTCACTCTACAATTCTATGATTCTATGTCTTCTGCCACTAAGGCACTCCACCTGCCTCTCAGGTCTTCCTCTGCTTCCTTTGAGTCTCTGCTGCTTTCTTCTGGCTGACTCTGCAAGCAACAACAACTCCAGCTAACCAACTTCTTGCTCCCCAGCTCCTGGCTATATATACTGTTTTTCTGGCCCCTCTTAGTCCAGCTCCAGCCAATCACACTGTCTAACTGAAAATTCCCAACCTGCACCCACCAATCGAAATACGTGTCCCCTCAAACCTTGTTTTGCATAATGAGAATTCTGACACCAGCTGTCAGTTAAGGCCCCAAGTGACAGAACTTTGTGCACTGTGTTATGGGAGCAAATGCTGGCAATAACCAAGCCCTCTGTCTTCTTGGCTGCCGCCAAGCAGGTTTCTACACGTTCAACCACACCGACTGCTGGTTCTCCCCGCTGCACCCTTGCTTTGATGGGCTCAATGGGGAGCTGGCCCATGCCTTCCTCCCTCCCCGCGGCGAGATCCACTTCGACAATCATGAATTTTGGATTCTAGGACGCTCCCGCTTCAGCTGGAAGCAAGGTACCGTGCACAAAGTAGCGTCTACGCGTTTTGGTGAGGGCAAGAGAGTGGATGGTTTTTGCTATGGGGTGGGGAGCCAAATGTGGCCCCACGGGCCTTTCTAGCTGGTCCTTGGAGAGGAGTCCATGCCCCCTCTCTGCAGACCACAACTCTGCAACTGCCTCAAATGTCTTTGCCTGTCTGAACTGTGATATTGCCTCTGACTTATCTGAACGGAAAGAGTCTCTGTGTGTAGAAACCCTTGACTTTAGTGTGGCTTGAATGCACCTTGCTGTAAAAAGCAGGGGCCACATTCACCCCATGTCAACTCTCCAGGGGCTGCATCCAGCAGTGAATGTGGCCACTGGCTCTTGCACAGACACTCAGATACGCAGCCCACCCGCTGCCCCCATGCAGATCTGTTGAGGAGAGGGTTGAGGGCTGGAGCCTAACAACACCACTATTTTGAAATATTAAGTGGTATATCAATGCTTTCCAATAAACACATTTGGAAGCCTAGAGGTTCTCCATCACTCTCAGAAGAGAGTGAGACTGGTGGGATGTTGTTCCAGAGGTTCCTATAACTTTCTGTGTGGACTTCTCTTTGGAGCTGGCCTGCAGAGATGCCAGGCAAAGGTGGCAGAGGAATTCTGGTCCTCTTCTTCTTTTTCTCTTGCCTTCTCTCTTTGGCAGGCGTCTGGCTGAATGACCTGGTGCAAGTAGCAGCTCACGAGATTGGCCATGCCCTGGGGCTCTGGCACTCCCGGGACGCCCGCGCCCTCATGCACCCCAACGCCACCTACAGTAGGACGTGGCGCATTGGCCAGGATGACGTCTGGGCCATTCAGCGGCTGTACGGTGAGGAGCACACCTGGCAGGCGGTTCCAAACCAGTAAGCTCCAACATCTGGTACCAGTAGACTTCCCTGTTCAGCTTGGGAGCACCTGCACTGCTACGGGGCAACTGTCCTGTGCGGAGATTGTCACTCCTTTGCTCATGCCTCACCTTTTCTCGGGTGCTGAAACGGGATGGGCTGCCCCTGGTTTCACAATATGTACCCTATACAATATGTAGGATAAGCACAGGGACAATTCACAACAGCTGTTATTGGTGGTAATAATATAACCTTCCTAGATTAGCTCTGTAGTGGATTTGTTAAATTGTACACGCAGGCAGCTGTAGGCCAGAGGCAGAGGGAGTCAGCAATCCATCTCACAGTCTTATGCAGCTGTTTATGTTATCAGAATCCTTTTAGCAAACTTTCCCAGCCTACCTCCAAATTCCAGTTTTGATTTCTGCCCAAATGCAAACTTGTTTCATCCCTCTCAGCCCTTAATCTGAGCCTGACTTTCAGCTCCAGTTGAGGCAGGAAGGGGGAATGCCTCTCCAGCTGGCTTGGGCAGGTTGATGGCCTGTTTTGGACTAGGTTCAAGAAGGCTTTGAATAGTATGTCTACAACTCCTGTTGGGCCAGAGCTAAAAGACGGCACTTGTGAGTTTGGATGACCACAGAGGAGCAGTCATGCTAGTCTGCTGTAGCAAAAAATATTGTGGCACCTTACAGCCAAACAGGTTTATTATGGTTTTATAGACCATAGTCCACTTCATCCAATCCAGGATGGCTACATTCTCTCTCCACTGTCAGAGGCTCTGAGTACCAGTTGCTGGATATCTCGGGTCAGGAGTTGTTGCGCTCAGGTTTTTTGCATTGAGACAACTGGTTGGCCACTGGGAGAACAGGATTCAGGAGGACTTGATGGGCCTTTGGTCTGATCAAGCAAGGTTCATTTTCTTATCTTAAGCTGGCAGGTGTTATATACACACAGGTGTAGAGAAAAACAACTCAAACAGTGAAGGCAAGTGAAAATGAAATGTAAGGATTTCATCAAAGCTTAAATGTGTGCAAAAATAAGAACTGCGAGTTAACCAACATTTGTAGTGAGATGGAAAACTGTGATCACTATTTAAGCCAGAATTGACAGAAACGAATTTTTTCATATATTTTAATTCAGCTCCTCTACCCTTGCAACTTGAAACCTCCTCTGCTCCCTGAAGCCAGATCTATTTCAACCAGGGTATAGACACAGCTGCCTTACGTGTGACCCCCCTCCTCAATTTGCAGGCTGTGTGGATGAGAAGAGGCAGTGCCAGCTGTGGGCCAAAAAAGGCTTCTGCGCACACCGACGGCGAGCCTTCATGAAGAAGCACTGCCCCAGGATCTGTAATGCCTGCTTTGGTGAGACCGGGAGCTCCTTGCTGCTCTTGCTCTGCTGTGGGCTCTCTGTTTTTTGAAGGGGGAGTGAGGGTTTGTTGTGCAAGAGCTCCAAATCAGCTTCAATTACGTAACCTGAATTTGAATCCCACCCCAAAATAGCAACAGTCATTTCTGTCTCTTTCTTACAGAGCACCCTGCGGCCACCACTGCCTCCTCCCTGCCTGTTCGTCCATCACACGTTCACACCAGATACATTTCCAAGGGCAAAGTCATCACCTTCCGCTGTGGACTCAACTCTTCCAGGTTGCACTTGCAAGCCAGGTGAGAACCCTTGTGTGTATTCTCAAGCAGACTCTGCAACACTGGCCAGTGCTGTAAATAATATTTGCCTCCTGACCTGAGCACAGTGCGTGTTTCTTTTAGAGCTCTGGGGAAGTAAGAAACCCTGTGATTTCTCTCCCACCTTGCCCAAAAGGCTGCAGCAATCCAGCCACCGGCCCACCTCCCTAACCCAACTTCTCTCTATGGCCAGTGGGACAATATGGTGGGACTGAGGTTGGGGTGGTAAGCAGCGGGGTTGGAGGCAAGATATAGGACAGACATCTTCCTTCACTGCATGCTGAGAGCACAGTCCGAAATATGTTCCAGAACATTTAATGCAAGCATGGGAACCTTTTGTTATAAGAATTCTAAGGTCCCAAATATAAAATAAACGTTCATAAATGTACAAGGCAAGCACATACATAAGTATATAAACCACGGTGTCTGAAATAGTACAGGAGAGCAATCCTGAAGCCATTTTGACTCTCCCAAACCATTTTGATTACAGGTAGGTAGCTGTGTTGGTCTGCTGTAGTCGAAACAAAATAAAAAAATTCCTTCCAGTAGCACCTGAGAGACCAACTAAGTTTGTCATTGGTGTGAGCTTTCGTGTAGTGTGCATGCACACAAAAGCTCATACCAATGACAAACTTAGTTGGTCTCTAAGGTGCTACTGGAAGGATTTTTTTTTATTTTCTTTAAACCATTTTGACTCTCCCAAATTGTCCTCAATATATTTCTCTGCAAGGAGGGAGGAAATGGGGAAAGCCTTCCCTTTGCCTTTTTGCTTACAAATCCTGTCTTAAGGGCGTATTCTGCTGTAGACTGCCTCCTCCTGTGATGTATGTATGATGTTCTGGGTGGTGGTGGTGGTGGTGGTCTTGAGCTACAAGGTGGGCAATTTCAAAAGTCTAGATAAGGGCTTGCGCACCAGTGTTCAGGGTTCCCTCCTCCCTCCTGTGTGTGTTGAGTGGGGACACTGTTGCAACAGTTTAATAACAGGCTTACTAGCCACTTTGCTTCTCAACTTTCTCTGGTTGGCCTTTGTTATTTTCTCCCACCAATAGGGAACCCACTTAAGGACTCTATATGGGCTCTTGGATACCCCATAAGGGAAAAGGAGCAGTTTTTTCCTATAACACTTTGTTCCCAAATGCGGCATTCCCCTGGGGCTACATTCTGGCGGTGCCCAGGACTGAACCCCAAAGTGCAGGAGGCCAGACAGGAAGTGACCAGGGCACCCCCTTCCCTCTCTCTGCCATCCCCTCCCCCCCCACTTGCATGGAATTAGTCCAAGGACCACATGGAATTTTGTCAACGGCCACGTGTGGTTCTTGGGTCACTGGTTGTCCATCCCTGATTTAAATTGAAGGTACTCTCACACCCCTGCCAAACTTTATGATGGGATTCATAGAATCAATGATTTGTAAGGAACTCCAAGGATCATCTTGTTGAACCCCCTGCAGTGCTGGAACATGAATCCGTAGGAAGATCGAACCTGCAACCTTGGCGTTATCAGCACCACGCTCTAACCAACTAAGCCAGGGGTCAGCAAACTTTTTCAGCAGTGGGCCGGTCCACTGTCCCTCAGACCTTGGGGGGGGGGCGGCGGATTATATTTTTTGGGGGAAAATTGAACGAATTTCTATGCCCCACAAATAACCCAGAGATGTATTTTAAATAAAAGGACACATTCTACTCATGTAAAAACACGCTGATTCCCAGACCGTCCGCGGGCTGAATTTAGAAGGCGATTGGGCCGGATTTGGCCCCCGGGCCTTAGTTTGCCTACCCATGAACAAAGTTACCTGGTCTTTGCTTGCTGTCACTTATGGCAAGTGTTAAGGTCTTATTGTTTAATAAGTTATTGGTTAATATAAGGCAAGGTTACTCACTTTGTAGGTCCAGAGCAAGAGGCTGTTAGCCTGCTCATCGATGAACACACAGCAATGCAGGAAAACGAGAGTAGCCACAAGTTATTATTTTTTTTTTAAAATATTTTTTATTACATTTTCAAATACAAAGTCAGAAATATAACAACATAAAGGAAAAGAAAAGAAACAAAGAAAGTAGAAAGAAAAAATCCAACTTTCAAAAACATTTTTACCTTACCAACTGGACTTCCCCACATCTCCCTCACCTGCGTTCTTTACAAAAAAACATATCAGCAAATTATTACCTTGTTTCATACCTTACTTGTATCTTTCAAATATTATACTTATAAATTTAAAGTATTTTTCATCAATTACTTATACCTTAAAATAAACATAGTATAACTTTAAGTTTCAACCTTTTCTTACTTATGACTTAGTTTCCTGTCCACCAAATCTAGTTGCTGAAGCTAAAATTTCCAAATCATGCAAATTCTTAACATTCATACAACTTATAGTGTTTTTGTAAATAGTCTTTAAATTTTTTCCAGTCCTCTTCCATTTTTTCTTCTCCCAAATCTCGGATTCTGCCCGTCATTTCAGCCAGTTCCATATAGTCCATCAATTGCGTCTGCCACTCTTCCAGTGTGGGAAGATCTTGTATCTTCCAGTATTTTGCAATGAGTATTCTTGCTGCTGTAGTTGCATACATAAAAAAGGTTCTGTCCTTCTTTAACACCTTTTGATCAACAATGCCCAGGAGGAAGGCCTCTGGTTTCTTAGGGAAGGTGTACTTAAACACCTTTTTTAACTCATTATAGATCATTTCCCAGAAGACCTTCACTTTTGGACAAGTCCACCAGAGGTGAAAGAATGTCCCTTCAGCCCCCTTACATTTCCGAGAGTAGCCACAAGTTAAAGGGTGGAGTGTTCGCTCCAACCCACAAGAACTGGAGACAATATTTAACTCGCAATTACCAGTTACTGCAGTGAACACCCGACCTCAATGTTACCACATGTGGATAAGTCCCTAATGAAACATCCTAATGTTAGGTGACAGAATATATATGGGAGGGTAATCCCACATTTCCCTAGCCTGAAGTAGGGAAGTTTGCCATCCTAGCATGTGAAATGCAGAGGAGCAGATGGATGTTGAAATATACTCGGAGTCGAGTGTGGATTTCATGCTCTTTTTCCAGCTCATTTACTCAGCGAGGAATGGAAGTTCCCCCAAAAGTCTGCTTTATATACATTATTTACACAATGGGCCCCACATGATTGGCTAAGTCCGGGATTCTCCTGTAGGCCAATCAGGTTGCGGATTCACTTCCACCTGGAGCTGGATTGGGTGGCTCCTGCGGACCAATCAGACTGCTGCATTCTGGATCCTATTGTTCTAGGACCAATCAGACTGCTGCATTTTGGATCCTATTCAACTCAGTACATAATAGATGTGGTTTTGGTGAGGATGTGAATTGTGGGGCTGAGCTAGTCTCCTCCCTCTGACTCCTGCCTTTCCCCGCTTCCAGCTGGTATAAAGATGGAGAGCCTCTCTCTCACTCGCTGCCAGGCTTCGAATTGCTGCCCAGCCAGGATCTGCGAGTCGTCGCCACTGAGTTCAGCGAAGGGAGGTACGCCTGTTTGATCCGCCACGGCAGCAGGACTCTCCGGGTTAATTCCTGGCAGATAAAGCTCAAGCCCAGAAGTCCTTTGCCTCCCATGATGGGCGCACAGGGGAGAGCATGAACAGGAACAGCATTGTGTGAGGTGTGTTTATAGTCCTAGCTGGCTTGGCACTACCCACATGGACCTGGCATGGCATCAGTCAGTCAGCCACTGCAGGCTCTGGTCTGGACTCACCTGCTCTGTTGCCAGATATCTTGATTCGAGAAGTCCTGTGGGGAGTAACATGTCCAGATTTTGGTAAAGAACCTCGATGATGTGTTATTTGTCTTCTGAACCCACTGGGTTTTCACCTAATCACATCCAGAGGCAATAAGTTGAGTGTGTGTTGTCCCACTAATTTGGGGACAGGGTTAGAGTCACCTCAAGATTGTACCTGAGGCCTTCTGCATGCAGAGCAGATTCTCTGCTACTGAGTCTCACAACTCTTGCCACTTAAAATACCTGTTGAAGCCAACATTATTCCAAGACCTGCAGCAGAAGTGGGGAACTTGTGGTCTGCCTGATGTTGTTGGGCTCCAATTCCCATCAGCTTGCCTAATGGTCAGGGAAGATGGGAATTGGGAGTCCAACAACATATGGAAGGCCACTTGTTCTCCATGTGTGTGCTATCCCCGAGAAAAATTACTTCATTTGAGTACACAGAGCAATCCTAAAGCCATCTAGGCTCATTTTGGAAAACCTTTCCCAATAGTTGTTTCACTCACAAATTCTTCAAATCCTGTTAATAGATAAACCTCTGCGAAACCGGTCTGGCAAGTATTTATTAAAGCCAAAGCAGACTGATTGAAAGAGCATCTTCTGTCTATTTCAAAGGAATGGACCAGACTAGCAAGGAAAGACAATCAGCAAATATTATCTTGACAGACAGGAGACAAGCTACACTCAAATTTCTGTTGTTGACCGCCTTTTTCTGTGATGCTTCTACGATGCTTTTGGGTGGCCTTTAGCTAAGGGGCTGGGCAATTTCTAAAGCCTTTAAAAGTTTTTACGCTCCTTTGTTCAGGTCCTCACATCCTTGCAAGGGCGGAGGGGACTCTGTTGCAACAGAAAAGTAAAGATCTTCCCTTTTACTGTATTTTTCGCTCCATGGGACGCACCGGCCCATAGGACGCACCTAGTTTTCGGGGGGGGGGGGGATAAAGAAAAAAAAATATTTTCCTCCCAGGTGCGGGGCTGGGGCGGGGGAAGCGCCCCACGGCTAGTGGAGTGCTGTGTGAAGCCCGAAGCTTGGGGCGTGCTGGGCTCAGCGCACCCCAAGCTTCTGGGTGCCGGCAAGCTCTCCGCTAGTCGTGGGAGAGCTGCGTTTCCCACGGCTAGCGGATAGCTTCCTGAAGCCTGCATTCTTCCCATAGGACGCACACACATTTCCCCTTCATTTTTGGAGGGGAAAAAGTGCGTCCTATAGGGCGAAAAATACGGTAAATTTCGACTGGTTCCTGCCTCCACTCATGTTTCTCTGACAGACTTGGGGGACACTGAGTCCCTTGATGGAGAGTTGGGCTGTAAATGCCAACCCCATTCCTCCCCCCCAATGCCAGGAATCGGGGCCTCCTTCTGCATGCCAAGCAGAGCTCCGGCTTTTGCCCTATGGAATCCTCCCATGAACACTGCCAATCTTCATTTGCCCTCTCTATGGGCTGGTCCATGGCAACTTCTGGAATCTGGCTGCCTCACACCTGTATTGCCTGAGAACAATCGTCATTTACCTCCAGTCCTTGAGAAACAGGTAGGCAGCTCAGGTCCCCATTTTGCATAGGAATTTATAGGCTTTGGGAAGCTTCTCAGTTCCTAGAGAAATCACACTGGTTTTTCAGCTGGCAGATGAAGACTTATTTGTTCTTACAGGATCTGGGAACTGACTGTTTTTTAAGGAATGGGCTGATGTGGTGATGTTTTTATTGTAATGTTTTAATAAAGCACATACACTTCTGTTAATGTCCAACTGTTTTTTAATGATTGATTTCCCCCTGTGTTTTAGCTGTTTCAAGTTTATCAGCAAGCTTCATTGAATCCGTATTGGGGGGGGGGGCAGGAAATGGGATACAGTGGTACCTCAGGTTAAGAACTTAATTCGTTCTGGAGGTCCGTTCTTAACCTGAAGCACCACTTTAGCTAATGGGGCCTCCTGCTGCCGCTGTGCTGCTGCTACACAATTCTGTTCTCATCCTGAAGCAAAGTTCTTAACCCGAGGTAATATTTCTGGGTTAGCAGAGTCTGTAACCTGAAGTGTATGTAACCCAAGGTACCACTGCATAAATAAGTATAATTATAACAATAATCTCAACATTTTCTAGAAGGTCAGAGGGAATTTCCCACCCACATTTTATCTTCTTTTTAATTTTAAAATATTTCCTCCCATTATTTCTTTTTAAAAAAATCTTGCAGCGTACAACACTATAAAGATAAATAGTGATATATCCCACTCATTAAACAAACTCATCTGATAGTGTGTGCGGTATAAATATGAGAATATATTCTTCTTTCTATAAGCGGAGGTATGGCATTTGCCTCATGTTGTTGCTTGACTAATGTTTCCTAGAGATCATTCACGACGCAGCACCTGACAGATTAAATTGCTTCAAGGTATGATGAAGTTATATTGAAGACAGAAGTTCCTGGAATGCCAAACATAGCAGCCTTTGTGTGATGCAATTGTAATCTGAAGCAAACGGAAACTTCTCAAGTAATCACAATGCTAAAAAGAGCTCAGGGCAAAGGTATCTAGCTTGCTTCCATCCTGTGCTAGTCTTTTGAGTCTCTTTAGAATATGGTAATTTCTTTTTACTTTATTATTAATTTTATTATGAAACAATAAGTACCAGGCTAAGACCCTACCTGCCGGCGGACTGTCTCACCAGAGTGGTGCATGCTCTAGTTATCTCCTGCTTGGACTACTGCAACGCGCTCTACGTGGGGCTACCTTTGAAGGTGACCCGGAAACTGCAATTAATCCAGAATGCGGCAGCTAGACTGGTGACTGGGAGTGGCCGCCGGGACCACATAACACCGGTTCTGAGAGATCTGCATTGGCTCCCAGTACGTTTCCGAGCACAATTCAAAGTGTTGGTGCTGACCTTTAAAGCCCTAAATGGCCTCGGTCCAGTATACCTGAAGGAGCGTCTCCACCCCCATCGTTCAGCCCGGACACTGAGATCCAGCGCCGAGGGCCTTCTGGTGGTTCCCTCATTGCGAGAAGTAAGGTTACAGGGAACCAGGCAGAGGGCCTTCTCGGTAGTGGCGCCTGCCCTGTGGAACGCCCTCCCAGCAGATGTCAAAGAGAAAAACAACTATTTTACTTTTAAAAGTCATCTGAAGGCAGCCCTCTTTAGGGAAGTTTTTAATGTTTGATGCTGTACTGTTTTTAATATTGTGTTGGAAGCTGCCCAGAGTGGCTGGGGAAACCCAGCCAGATGGGCAGGTATAAATAATAAATTATTATTATTATTATTATTATTATTATTACCACAAACTAACAGGTAAGATAAATATATAACAAATATCAGAAAGCACATTTTGCAAAGAATTTGGGGAAATGACAAATTTGCAAATAATATTCAATTTCGGTGGATATTTTGCTCTTCTAATGTTCCCAACCAGGTATGTGGTTCTGCATTTTCCTACGTTTTGCTCTTGTTGGCATCCATCCGTCTCGGGAGACAATGGAGGGGTGAAGTCAAACTGTTGGAGAGTTACAGCACCTGCTGTGGCTGCAGAGACCGATATGGGAGAGACATGTTTTGTTGCAGCTGGGGCAGATGGAGGCATCCGGTTCTGCTGCTGCAGATGCACCATGGCGTTTCTGTTGTGCCAGCACTGGAGGAGGAAAAAACTTAAACATGTAGTAGAGTGATAAAAAATAGACCAGAGGCAATTGTACTTCATCCAGCAGAGCTTTTACTTTCTACTGAAGGCAAATGAGCATAAATGTTCACAAATCCAAAACATTCAGGATTGGCACAGTCCATAAAAAAGCCCAGTTGCAGCAAAAACAATAAAACTTACAAACTTTTGATAAGTCTAAACTTTAACACCAAGCATACAGAACATTAGACTAGAACAAAGAGACAGAAAAGAGAAAGTGAGTGAGAGCCAGGCTATTATAGTCAGCACGACCTTATAGAAAGATAACGGAACCAGTTTAAACCAGCTGTACACAGCTTCCCAGAAGGAAAACAACCCAAACAAAAACCTCCTTCCTGTGTCTCTCACATAGAAACAAGCTTCCTTTCACACAGAAGAGAAACCTTCTAGAACCCTCTTGAACTAATCAGGATAGGAAAGATCTCTACACATCAGATCAATACATTCTGTACTAAGAAATGAAAACTGACAGTTTCTTCTCTCTGCGCTCTTCCCAGCGGTAATTTGTATTTAAGAACATAGGAACAGCCTCCTGGATCAGGCCAATGGCCAGCATCTTGTTCTCACAGGGGCTAACCAGATGCTTGTGGGAAGAACGTGAACAGGAGCCAAGTACATTGTTCTCTTCCTTCCGCGGTTCCCAGTTCTCTCCATGCTGTGCAGAATTGTATAAACTTATATTGTGACACCTCTTTCTCATCTTTTCTCTGAACTAAAAAGTCCCAAAAGCTGCAACATTTCTTTGTAGGAGAGTTGATCCATCCCTTTGATCATTTTGACTGACCTTTTCTGAGCTTTTTCTATTTCTACAATATTATTTTTGGGTGACCTTTTTAATAATAATAATAATAATAATAATACAGTGTGTGGCTTATGGGGCACATAATTACTTGACTTGTCTACACTCACAAGCTGATAGGGTGTTCCAATTTGCGCTTCAAAACAAGTCTGTCAAGAAAATGTCTCATGAGTAAACAAAGCAGTCATGAGATAACAAGTTAGGTCGTTTTATGGGGTGGTAACTGTTACAGCGGAAGTGTGACTAACTTAGACCGGATCCAAGCCAATATAAGTGTAAGCTAATGCATACTGTGACAAAAATATATATCATATATCTCTATTTCACTGACTGTGTTTGAACTGACTGCAACTATCCCAGAAATAGATCTTTGGATTATAGTGGATCGCTCAATGAAAATGTTTTGCTCAATGAAAATGTTAGCAGCAGGGATAATAGTAATTTTAAGCTGGCATTTTTGGGATGTGGATTGAACATAAGCTAGGATCACAATGCTGTTGTAAAAATCAATGATACAGCTTTTGGAACACTGTGTTCTGGTCACTTCACCTCAGAAAGGACACATGGAAGGAGAGCAGAAATGAGCAACCAAAACAACCACAGGATTGGAACACCTTCCCTACAAAGGAAGGCTAAAGAGTTTGGGGCTTTTTCCTCATGAAAAAAGGCAACTAAGGCTGCAATCCTGGGATGCAGGTGGCGCTGTGGTCTAAACCACCGAGCCTCTTGGGCTTGCTGATTGTAAGGTCGGCAGTTCGAATCTGCGCGACAGAGTGAGCTCCCGTTGCTCGGTCCCAGCTACTGTGTCCAGTTCTGGGCACCACAATTCAAGAAGGACACTGACAAACTGGAACGTGTCCAGAGGAGGGCAACCAAAATGGTCAAAGGCCTGGAAACGATGCCTTATGAGGAACGGCTAAGGGAGCTGGGCATGTTTAGCCTGGAGAAGAGGAGGTTAAGG